TCAGCAGGAAAATACATTTATCTAATTGCATTTCAAATGTAGAGGATCTGAATAAATAAACAAGTTGTTCTATGAATAGAGGAATTAACAAATACTAGTTTCCTGTGGGTTCACGTCCTGTGTTCCTGCATTTCCTACACTTCTGCTTGTCCCCTGTTCTGCATAGTTCCTGTGACCTCACTTGGCCATATCCCACCTAAACCATCTCTTTCAGCTGCAGCTCCTTCCTCTGTCCTGGTTGGCTTGTGTGTGCTGGCTGGCCAACATTAGGCTCAGATGGCTGGCGAGCCAGCGGGCAATGGAGCAGGTAAACGCTTCAAAACTTCATGGCCCAGACTGCTTCTGCCATTCCTCTCCTAGTCCCAGGAGTCTTGCACAGACCTCAGATATCGGAAGGCCTATCCCTGTATTAAATCTGTTTGGAAATGGTCAATTAAATGGCCAATTAAAATATGTATTCAGATGACTAGCAATGAGATTGTGTGATCAGGTATGCTTCTGCCTCTCAGGAGGCACCTGAAAATCTTTTAAAGCACGTATGTCAGAGCCAGTCCTGCTTGTGGATCTTGTCAGGCTTCACAGTTTTATAGTAAAGCATTGTGCATAGCAGTCATTCTAACCACCAGCTACTGAGGACAGACAGGACACTTCCCATATTAGCATTATGACAGTGATTAGAGCCACCTAATTATAGCTGTGCAACAACAAAATTCTCAGCTTGCAGATGTCAAGTTAGCCAGGCTTGTAAGTCTTTCATATCCTATGACTTAGGTTATTACTGCTTTATAATTTTTCTGATCCATGTCATGATTTTATGTCAATTCTGCAGGAGGACAGCAGTTCTCAAATGAACACGGAGTAAATACAGTCAATAACAAATGGGTTATTACATGAGTTCAGGTCATTATTGCATTGTTAATACTCACCAGCAGTTTGGGTTTCATTTTTTTCATGTGTGATGTATGACATATTGAATACGATGTGAATGGCTTAAAGGCCTTGTTTTGTTTTCAAGGCCACTATGGTACCAGTTAAAAAAAAAAAAGTAATAATAATGCAGAAGGGACCAAACAAGTTTTGACAACACATGAATCTTCCCTCAGCACAGCTGAGTTGCATATAGTATAGCTAAGAGGTGTATTTGACCCCTACATTTATAATTAACCCTTAACTCATGGTATATAAAAAAAGCTTCAGTTCAGTGTTTTTGCTGCAGTGTAATTCCAAGAAACATCAATTAGCTATCAAATGCTGACAACTTGCACTTATCGCTGATTAGGGCTAGATATGAACTATAAACCTAGCACATTACCATAGTCCAACAGCTCGTTACCAGTCTAGCTTTGCTAGCTAATCTTTCCCACTAAGTTTTATTTAGGGACCTTCTGGCTAGCTCATCTGAAAATTACACGCTAATGATCTGAGCAAAATTGAGAGTTTTAAATGGTAACATGGGAGAAAAAATAATTCTGTTTGATCTCTTTATGTTATGATAGATGTCATTTAATCAATTAGCACAGCAGACCATACCATTGCATTTCAGACCTGACAAACACAAAAGAAAACAGAAAAGGGTGAGAGCTTCACTCATCTCTTGACCTTCTCCACCACATAAAAGGACATTAATATATAGCATCATGGAATGTTTAGGAGCAAAGTTACTGTGACAGCAGTCAAGATGCTTTCCCGTGGGTTTCCTACAACTCTACCATAGGGGATTGCCAAGGATGTGACTGCTGCTAGTAGAGGGCACACGTCAGAGACAGGGTCACAACATGATGCAGTGTCCTATGGAGATGTCAGGCAGCAGGGTGGCCCAGCAGGCATCCTGGGGTGCTTGTTTACAGTTAAGCCTCCAGAAGGTTTAATATAGGGTGCTGGGTCTCCAGAATGCCCCAGAATCAGAAATGTGGCTTCCAGTTATGCCTGGCTCCTTCTCCCCACCTGCCTGAGATGTTTGAGAGTGTTCTAGAGACTGCAGCCAGAATTCAGATTCTTGAATAACCATGGACTAAAGATACTGCAGCAGTGACAATGACTGCTTCATAGTAATTTGCCACAACTCCATGATAAATAAAATTTACTTCCTAAATATACTGGAGGTAAAAAAGGAAAAGAACAGGATGTTTCATAATGTTACCACTTGTTTATGAGTGCAAAGGGTTAAAGATGGTAATATGTAGGTAGGAACAGGTGGGAAAATGCACCTGATCCACTTTCTTTCAAGCTTGTGTAAATTAAGGACATCATGGGATATAAAAGTTCTATATTTAATAATTAATAGAAACAGATTGAGATCGATGACAGAAATATTTGAGAAGAAGCACAAGACCACATTTAGGGGCTATGTTTTTTCCTGCAATTTAACTGCACTGGAGTTTCTTTCCCGAAGGCTACAAGATTCACCCAAACATGTTGTGCCCTGTGTCTACTGGTTCCCACTCTGAATGAGTCAAAACCAGAGATGGTCAAAATGCACAGTAATATCTTGAAAAACCAATTATACCTCTAAATCAACCCTCAAACACATCCACTGGTAGTCTACACTTGTGCAATTCAAAACTTGGATAATGGCAGAGCACAGTATGTTGAGCGAGTTCTTAACGCTCCTCTTGCCCTGATCTTAAGACATTAAGTACATAGCATTTGATCTGCCAGAAGCTGGACCTTTTTCCTAAATACAGGAGTAGAGAGGTTTGGTTTTTTTTCTATTATGGGCAAAAGGAGCAAGAACCCCTCAGGTCTCCCCTTCCTGGAACCTGCACAACAAGAGAAGTGAAGATTTGCTGCTCTCTGCCCATCTTTCCAGACCTCTGAAAAGAATGCACACTACTTAAATATGCAAAGGTTTGCAGATTTAACTGCCAGAAATGTTTAAATGCCAGACCATGGGGCTCAGAGATATCATTTTACTATGAGAAAGGAGCCTGAAGGAAAAAGCACCATACATATTCCTATTGCATATTATGAGATTAACCAAGAAAAATTTATTCTTGCATTCAGGTATTGAGGAATGCAGTGAAAGGTCATATGGGCGTCATATCATTTATAATGTCAGTATAGAATACTTAAATCTGTCCCTTTGTGTTTAAGACAAACATTGCTGATAAATTTTATTAGTTGACTTCTGGCATAACAGAATTGTTGTGCCAGAACTTACAAAACATGCAGTCTTATAAGGGAACTTATATGAAGCTCCAGTTACTGGCACAATTAATGGGTAATACACAGAGAATACAGAATTTATTAGTCTTAATATGGATTATAGATTAGATATTAGTAGGAAATATTTGGAATTTTGTAATCCTGGGAGATGAATTAACATGAAGCAACACACTGGTAATACTTACCATGAGGCATACAATTATTGCTTTTATATCTATCTGGATACGAACAGAAAATTATTAAGAAAGTTATTTGTGTTCTGAACTCAAGGTTAGTTTCAACAGAGATAACACAGCTGTTTAGTGAATAAAATAGATATGTAATTGCTAATTAAATGGCTCTCACATACCAACATATTACTGCTAGAGCTGAATATTAATGCAACATTCTTTATTCATGGGCCACTACCAAATATCCCCTGTTGAAAAGACCTGGTACCACATTCAGATTTGCAGCAGCCAGAGCTCTGCCCCAAACTGGACCCTCATCATCATGGGGTTTACTGTGCTGAGATGAGCACAAGGGGAATGGACATGGCACCTGCAAATGGACACAAAGGACTCCACCAGTTGTGCAAACTACTTGATGTTTATGTCTGATACACGCATAAATGATGCCAGGAAAAGGAGCCCACTTAGAACTGCAATCAAGAGTAGCTCAAAAAACAACAAAAGCCACTGATTTTAATGCCACAGAGCATACAGCCATCCAAAATGCAGTAGTCATCTAAAAAGAGAAAATAAAATCTGTTACTGGCTTAACAGGCTTATTTTATTTCCTGTATGTTGTAAAGATCCTAAAGGTTACTAAAGCACACCCTCACTTTTTCTGTAAAACACACACACTTGCAGCCTCAGCCCTCTGCTGAAAAGAACAGGTGTGTTTCACAAATCTCACTGGAGCACAAAGTGGTAGGGTACCAACTGGTTCTTTTTCACAGATGTGTATTTTCAGGTCAAATCATATTCAGCTTTGGCCCTCCATCAGTCCCTCTTTCACATCAATGTAAACTGTCACAACAACAGCAGTTACTTCCAGTTCCTTCTAACATGAGAAGAACAATCCCCCATCACTCCCTCAATGTCTGCAGATGAGAGAGATGAGCAGGATTCAGGAGGCTGGTATAGTCTGACAGAGTACACAGAGCTACTAGAATAGTCTCTCACCCTCTCTGAAAAAGTGGAGCTACTTCTCCAACACCATACCTTTGGAAACATTTTTGTTTGTTTGTTTTTGATATGCAGTACATGCCAACTGGGTAGCAGATTTGGATATTGCATCTAATTCCTGTCCTCTTGCATAGGCATGTAACTCCAAAGCACATCACACAGAGCCTGTGAAAAATGTCTTCAGAAGGGAGGAAATGCAGTTTAGGTGCAAAAAGATTCTGCTTCTCTGTTTATAGCTGGAGGCAGACATGAAAACTGTGTTCAATCCTTAAACAACTGCTCCGAGGAGATGCAGGTCCCCCCTGCACAAAGATGATGAGGTGCTTTTAACAGCTCACCTTGTAAGTGGCTCCCCTTGCTTGTTCTCTGGTGGTCTCTGAGTTGAGCAGCACAGCTGCCTAGTGCAACCTGAGCTACCTGAAAGGACTGGCAGAAGTGACATGGGAACTATGTGATACCCCTGCCCTCTGGAGCTCCTGCTGAAGGTAGGCAGGACATTCGGGAAAGCTGCAGGCTGTGCTATGGTGAATGCAGCAGGAGGGAGACTTCAACCAGTGAGAGTACCTACTCGTGCAAAGGGTAATATACAGTGCATCCTTTCCCAAGCCCCAAAATCCCTTTATATCTATGACAGCTCCCAACTTTATCCTTTCGTTGTGTTTATAGAGGCTGAAGACAGTATTTCCATAGCTCCTAGGTTCGTAACAGCTCCCGTCGCCACCACTCTGGTACCAGCTCTCTGCTCTTCAGAACAAGCTGTACTGGGAGCTGTACAAGGGAGGCAGAAGGGTTGATATTTCTGACAGTATGACATACGTTTTTCCACCAATTTCAAAATGAGTGAAGCTTTATTTCTGCCCAAGAGTATAAACTAATAATTTAGTCACCCCCACTACCCCTCAAAAATAACTCCTTGGAAAATAATTTTAAATACAGCAGGTAGAACAGTTTTGCTGAGGGGGGGATGAGACAAAATACAGCTAAAACAGTTAAACCTGCTGTCTAAAATTAAGTTTAGTGAGTCTTGCCACATATTGCTAGAAAGCATGTTACCTGATGGCATTCATAAACAAACCAAATTTGAGAGATCAAAATCACCTTCCAAGCTCGCTCTGCATCAGGGGAGCATGTGGATTTTAATATTTCAGAAGACAGCTCTCACCAGCCTGCTTAGTTCTAAAAAGTCAATGCATATTTTTAAAAATTCACTTCACATCAGTTCATTGTGTACCAGCCTGGAGGCAACCACCAGCCAGAAAACTTTGATCACCCAGCAGAAGCTAGCCGGTGGCTGAAAAGCACAAGAGGATTGTCTCCATTGCCTTCCTCTCAAATGTGTTATGAAAATAAGAACTTCAGTAAAAAAAGTTTGTATGGAGAAAAACATCTTGCAGTTGCAATGCCATTTGAATGCTATTAGAATCATAGAATTGTTAGGGTTGGAAAGCACCTTAAGATCATCTAGTTCCAAACCCCCCCCATGGGCAGGGACACCTCACACTAAACCATGTCACCCAAGGCTCTGTCCAACCTGGCCTTGAATACCACCAGGGATGCAGCATTCACAACTTCCCTGGGCAACCCATTCCAGTGCCTCACCACCCTCACAGTAAAGAATTTCTTCCTTATATCCAATCTAAACTTCCCCTGGTTAAGTTTTAACCTCTCACCCCTTGTCCTATCACTACAGTCCCTAATGAAGAGTCCCTCTCCAGCATCCTTGTAGGCCCTGTGCTGCTATGTGGTTGAAGCAATAAGACAAACTGGCTGAAATATTCTCCATTTACAACCACACAATTCTCTTCAAAGATTCAAGAGCCTGTCTCTCCACTGGGGGGGGGGGGGGGGGGGGGGGTATTAAACAGAGTCCAAGAAAAGAAAGAGTATGAAGAAAAATTCAATGTACATTGAAGTGGAAAATCAAATAGTCCTGCTTGTGCCACTTTGGTTGTCACAAATCCCCATTTATGTGGCAAATACCTGTATAACATTTTTGAGCTCCAAATTCATGGTCACAGATCCATGTGCAACAGTCAATAGATGATTGTACATTTCCAGTTTTCACATTCACCAATTCCATCAATTATCTCTCGTCCAACTCCAAATAAACACAACAGTAGGTAACACTTAACCACATGCTTTCCACAAATAAGCTGTTAATCATCAAATACTGAACATGAAATAGAGTATACAATATCCCTTAGCAAGGATTTGAGGATTATCTCATCTAATTAGATATAAGCATGTTGTCTAATCTGTGGGCTTAAGCCAAAACCCAATAAAAAGATTTCCATTGACTTACACTGAGGGTTGAATCAAACACTGGAAAAATTTGATTTTGCAATTCAAACAGAAAGAGAGGTTAAATGAAGAAAAGATGAAGAAATAAAAGTGGTCAACTGAGTTAAATCATCTGGCATAGAAATAATGGACTGGACATCCCATATCCCTGCTAGGGTAATCTTGAGGGAGACACTGCTGAGACTTCCTGAATTCCTTTGATGCCATCCAAGCATAGCAATCCAGGCAAATGCTGGTTTTCAAACTCCTAAAAGCAGAGGAGATTCTAACAGACACACTAGAACATGGTTTATTATTTGTATGACCGCATGGTGTGTGCAAACACCTGCCAAACATGGATAAAGACGTTATCAAAATGCAAATAATGCTACTGAAAATTGTCAAAGATTCGAACCAAGAGCTAACTTAAATTGCATAAACCTAGCCCCTAACCAATCTGTAACTGTTTATTATATAACTATGAATTGACATTTGTTAGCTACATGTTTACTTTGTTTTTAAATCATTCTAACAATGAAACATTCACGCCAGCTCTTGGGAAGTTATTCCACTAACAGGGATCTCTTACCATGCGTTAAAGTTTGTATTCCTCTTTCTCATTATTTAAGGATAAGAAATTATTCTGCCAGTTCATCTCATTAAAAAAAAAAAAAAAAAGCTATTTTTTTTGGCTGTCTGCAGTGCAGTAGGATGTCTCTGCTCCCTTGCCTTGAGTCTCACTGGATTTGTGCAGGGAAAGAAGGAACAGTAGGAAAATGAAAGTTAATTTCACAGATCATATCCATATGCCACTATTCAAGAAATTTGAAATAAGCAAAACCATGAAGTAAGGTTAATAAATATTACTACATGCTTTTTGATTATCTGCTGCATTGCACAAGAGCTAATTATTCCAAGAATATGACTATTTGAAAATTGTTCAATTTAACATGAAATGAATTATCATCACATTTCCATGAGAGAATATGTATTAATGTTCAATTGGGTCTGAATCAGCTGTGGAACAGGTGAGAATAAACTGCTGCATATCCTGACTGAAGGTTCAAAATGGTATTTTAATGAATTAAGTACAGATTCATTTGTATATGAAATCACCACAATGGCCTATTTGGGTCCCACTCAAATTATATTTCAGAAATTACTGTATGTTATTGGATTGCTTGCTCATTACCAGTCACGTCTGTGCTGGCCAAGGACCAAAGCAGTGTCCTTCCACAATGCAGCTATCTGATGCTGATAAGAGCGACTATCTAAATGCAATTAGTAATTGCTATTAAATCTGAGTATAAGCCACAAGCACTTCCCTTCTCATTTCACTTTGTAGTACATCACCATTTGCTTGTTACAGTGTCTGTAAAGCAGTAATTCGTGGAGTGGTTCAAAGAGTATTAAAAGAGCTAGCTCACGAGGCCTGATTCTTTCCACTTGAACACTTGTGCAGAATGGAGTTGTGTCAGCTGAGGTCTGTGTAACAGTGGATCAGGCTCAGTGAATGCAACACTTCCATCCACTACACATGCTCACAGACACCTCTGCTCTAATTATTATCATGCTGCCAATCTGGCAGGACTGAGCTGAGGAATGGCACCTCTACCAATGCTTTTCTTGAGGATTTTGTCTACTATCTCTCATTAACTTGATGATGAAACACAACACTGTAAGACATGTGCAGATAAAGCTCAAATCTGCACTATCAGCTGTATAAACCATCCTACAATAAAGTGCATTGTTGATAAACACTATGACAGTGATTGCTGGAGCATGCAAAATCTGTTATGCTCCTGAGATGCAGATTAAATTACTCTACATTCACAGACTGTGCATTCTTACATTCACAGACTGTGTATCCCTGAGTCCATCTATTTTATGTAGTTCCCTGGAATAAAGAAGAAAATTGTCAGAAATTTAACCCAATAAATCTGTCAGCTACAGAAGGTGAAAGTCACCCCAAAGGTGAAAGTAATTGCCAGATGCTCCAAGTCCTCATTATATCCACAACCACAGTGTTTCAGCACTCTGGCTGGCACCTGTGTTGCTCTTCCACGTTGCCAAAGTGCTCTGGCTAGTGTCAAAGAGCATGCACCTAAGGCCAGGTCCTCAGCTGGTATATATCATGGCATTGCTCAAATGGCTTCAGGGTCTGTTAGCCAAGGCTCTGTTCTATACAACCTAGCTGCCAAGATCATGAAAAAACTCTTATTTCTGAGCAGGTCCTGGTTTTGATAGCTAATTAGGAACTATTTCACATTCAAAAATCTCTACTGACCACTCTGCTACAATTGGATCATTCAGAAATATTTCTTAGGCTTATTCTTTTTTTTTTTTAATTGGCTCATTTATTTTTCTCGATTGCTTCCCAGTTCTTCTCTCTGGATTGCTGTCTCTACACATCTCAGTGCCTCTCAGAGGGAGTTATCCCATTCATTTTGGGCCATTTCCCAGTCATGGGATTCTGCTTCAGCTGTCACTCATGTCCTCATTTTCACTCTTTTATCTCCCCTTCTGCTCTCATGTTTCCACAAGTAAACAAGCAAAATTCCACTTCATCCACTTCTAATACATTCAATATTAAATTAAGACAGCAAGAGAGGAGATTCCAAAGGCAGCACCAAATTTTTATGAGGCTTTCTGTGGTCTTTTTACCATGTTCTCATTAAGAAGAAGCAAAAGCAAGAAACAGAAGTCTAGTGGATGTAGCAGTGGAAAGCAAAAGTGATTGAAATGGCTCAATTAAAAAAATAAATTATTTTAGGCAACGGTTGAACAGATTGCTTACTGGGCATATAGTTCAATTCTGGCATTAAATTCTCAGGCCTAGTAAGCAAAATGGCTGTGTGAATCCCACAAAACTAAGACAGTATGAGTCGTAAATAAGGATAAAATCTCCAGTACCAATAGTAGTTATTGTACAAGAATTATATTGTGAGCTGGTTCTGAGCTTTCCTTGTCTCTTTCTGAAGAGTTTTCACTGATGTATCTTCTGAGAAAAATAATCTAACCCATGCAGTAAATGCAAAGGTAAAATGTATAAACAAAAGACAACTGGGACCCCAGTTCTCTTCACACACATCTGTATACACAGATGAAACTGCAGATAGATAACGCCCATTTAACCAAGAGAAGAATCTGAATTACTGGATACATCCAAATCTAATTTTAATTTTTACTCCAATAATTAACAATTTAAAGAAAATATCCAATATAGAGCATATTCTTTAGGCTCATCTTTTATACCACAATATTATAATAAAACACTTTCCCTTTTCTCCTTTTCACTTAAAAGCAATAATAATCTACCCTTAAAAAATATTCCCATTAGGACCACTTATGTGAGTCCTTAACTTTAAAAAAAAAAAAAAAGTGGGGGGGAAAACCTAAAAGAATCCTCAGAATCCAAGCAATAAAGTGTTATGACTGCTTTTTGCCAGGGCTGAATGCCCTTTACAAAGTCCTACTTCAATTTTTTTCTAGCTCAGTTTTATAAATGGGAATAAATAAATAAATACAGAAATAAATTCTTTTCCAAAGGTCATGAAGAAAGAATGGATTAGCCCATGGTTTAAGCATCAGATTAGATCTTAAAACATGGTGGCTCTGCCACTAAGCCTCTTGTGCAGCCTTGCACCAGTCACTTAACACCATTTTATTTTCTACACACAGGATTAAAAAAAAACTACACACAGCATGCAAGATATGGGAGAAACTGCAACCATATGACAGAGAAGCAGAAGTGCCAAGAATAAAATTCATGCTTTTGACTCACACGCATCTATTTTATGGACTAGATTCCTTCCTTGTATGAGCTTAAGCATAGAGTTCAAAATACAGGATCCTTCCAGAAACACTAACACATTGGGATAGCAATTAAGAGAAAAGCCTATTAAATAAAACAAGCAACATTTTCTAAAAGAGAAATTCATACAGCCTTGCACTTTCCTAAACAGTTTCTTACATTCTCATAGTCATGAAAATGTATAAAAATGATTATTTCCAAAACAGCATTACTATGAATTATCACCACCCCTGTTGCCTAGCAACTAGAGTAATTTTTGAATAGTGAGCTATACAAACCAGTATCTGGAGTTTGTGTAAATGGGTATTCATTTGAAGATTTAAAACACATTTATCTTGGAAATCAGAGGCAGATAACACAGCACTAATGTAAAGCTGAAATGGTCTTCAAAAGGAAAAAAAAAAAGGCACTAACAATTACTGCCACTCAGCAAAACTCTCCTTCTGGAGCAGATTTGAGCCTCGTCAAACTTGGTCAGAAAAGGAGCTGACTTCCCTTCTCTTCTTTGGGCTTGCAAGGGCCCCTTTGCAATTTTTATGAAGATACTTGATCTTCCCGTGGAGAAAATAATTCTTGCCCAGTCTTTTGAGGGATTTTCTCATAACTCAAGAGCAAAAGAAACTGTGAAATTAATTGGCAATATATTTATGTCAAACTAAAAATTCTAATTTTACATAACATGCTGAGCTGGAGGAACTCACTGGTTCATACCATGACAGGATGATGTGCTTAGT